TGTATGTCCTGATCAGTGGGAGACATCGCTTCTCACATAGAGGTGTCCGTGGATGTTCTGGTCAGTGAGTGGGAGACATCACTTCTCACATAGAGGTGTCCGTGGATGTCCTGATCAGTGGGAGACATAGTTTCTCACATAGAGATGTCCATGGATGTCCTGGTCAGTGAGTGGGAGACATCGCTTCTCACATAGAGATGTCCGTGGATGTCCTGGTCAGTGGGAGACATCGCTTCTCACATAGAGGTGTCCGTGGATGTCCTGGTCAGTGGGAGACATCGCTTCTCATGTAGAGGTGTTGTCCGTGGATGTCCTGATCAGTGCATCCCACGGGAGGGAGTGCTCACTGTTCTAATCAAGCATAAGTCCAGCGAGCTTTCTTGTGGAATTGTGGGATTGTGCAATGCCTGGGAGTGCAGTGGAAGGACATTTAGCAGTTGGTGTCAGTGAAATGTAACTATGCCTTCTGACATATTATTCCCTAACTCTACACTCAAGTGTCTTAACAAATGCGCTTACTAACCAAACTTATGGTACTTAGAGGCCTGTCTCATCTTCCTGAAGTCCAAGTGCTCTGAGACTCTTTAACTTTTGATCTCACGGCTGTGCAGATTTCAGATTTTTCCATTAGGGATATCCACTCAGAAAAGCTCATGCTCATATTTCCACTTTGTCTACTCTGCCAAAACTCCGAAATATGAAACATCTCTAGCCCTAATTATTGCAGATGAGGGATACTCAGTGTATTTGCTTAATTTTTATGTCAGCTTGACACAAACTAGACTCCTATGGGAGAAGGGACTCAATTGAGAAAATACCTCTACAAGATTAGCCAGGCGTGGCGGTGCACACCTTTAATCCCAGCAGAGACAGGTGGACCAGCCTGGTCTACAAAGCAAGTCCAGGACTATTACACAGAGACAGCCTGTCTTGAAATAAAACAATAACAATGATGATAATAATAACAGAACTCTAGGCAAGTCTGTTATATATTTTCTTGATTAGTGGTTGATGTGGGAGGACCCAGATCATTGTGGGTGTTGCCAACCCTGGTCATGTGGTCTTGAATAGCTTAAGAAAGGCTGAGCAAACTGTGAGAAACAACTCAGTAAGCAATATTCCCTTATGGTCTCTGCTTCAGTTCTGCTCTGAGTTCCTGCCCTGGCTTCTCTCAGTGATAGAGAGTGTGATTTGAGAGTTGCAGGATGAAATAAACCCTTTCTTCTCCAAATTGCTTTTGATCATTGCATTTTATCACAGCAATAGAAACTTAAGACAGAAATTGGTACCAGGATCATGAAGTACTGCTGTGACAGACCTGACCATACTGTATTGGGGAGGACTGTGGAAGGGTTTGGAACTTTGGTTGGTAAAACCATTTGGTAAGCTAGGCCCAGTGGGCCTGTAGTTCCAGAACTCTGGGAGGTAGAGGCAGGAAGGTCTCTGTGAGTTCAAAGCTAGTCTGGTCTACAAAGTGAGTCCATGACAGCCAGGGTCCTGTCTCACAAATCAAAAACAAAAAGAAAAGCTATATTTCTGGTCATCTGGAGATAAAGAATCAGCTGTGATTTACAGAGACCAATACTAATGAAGTGAAACCTTTGCTCAGCTGGGGCTGAAGAATCAGCTGTGATTAAGAAATGGACAGCTAAACCAGTGTGGTGGCACACTCCTGTAATCCCAGAACTCAGGAAGGCAGAAGCAGGTGGATTTCTGTGAGCCTGAGGCCAGCCTGGTCTACAAAGCAAGTCTAGCCTTGGCTGTCCTAGAGAAAACCTGTCTTGAAAAACCCTGTCTTGAAAAACCAACACCCGCCCCCCACCCCACCAAAAAAAAAAAAAGACAGGAGGACAGCTTTAGTGAGGGCGAAGTCTTCTGGGAAGTGTTTCCCCAGGGTCAGCACACAGAAGCTATACTGAAGAGTGGCCCAAGGCTGTGTTTCATGCTGGCATTTGAACTTAGTAATGTGTAAATATTTCCCAGCTGGTATTGGCTTTGAAAATGTGAAGGGGTCATGAAGAGCGGTTGAGGCTGTGAGAGGCCAGGAAAGGCCAGAGGTAAAGGTGCAGCCTCAGCTGTAGTAGAAGCCTTAGGATTAAAAGCATCATGAAGAGAACCTGAGACCTGGCACAGGTGGCAGGATCAGAGTCCCTGAAGACAGGCCGGAAGAGGCCACTGGTGAAGCCGAAGCCTCGGTTTCAGTGGAGACCCCAGCATTTTGGAGGCCCTAACACCATGGAATGACAGCAGCACCTGTGGCCTCTGCTTCAGTTCTTGCCTCCAGGTTCCTGCCTTGAGTTCCTGTTCTGACTTCCCTCCAGGATGGAGTGTGACCTGAAAAATTTAAGATGAAATGAACTCTTTCTTCCCCACGTTGATCTTGAACAATGATTTGTTTGTTTTATTTCATGTACATTAGTGTTTTGTCTTCAGGTTTGTCGGTGAGAGGGTGTTGGATCCCTTGGAACTTGAGTTACAGACAGTTGTGAGCTGCCACATGGTTGCTGGGAATTGAACCCAGGTCCTCAGGAAGAGTAGCCAGTGTTCTTAACCACTGAGCCATTTCCCCAGTGCTTTTGACCATGGGGTTTTCTCACAGCCATAGAAACCTAAGACACTCGTGTTAAATATGACTGCCACATCCTCTTAGTTTAGTTTAACTTTGCTTTGTGAAAGTGAATGTTTATTCTGTTGTCTTGCTATTTTTCTGTCTTGTGCGCATGCTCGGGTAACTACTTATAGACCCTCTATTTCTCTGACGTTATTGAAAGTGTCATCTTCACATTTCCCATCACTACCCCTGGCTTAAGAGTTCGGAATCCGAAGAGTTTGTGTTAACGACTTTTCTTCCATGAGAAATCGTGAAGGTCAGGAAAGAGTTTAGCAATGGTAGGGTCCAAAGATAGCATCCATGTTGCTAATCATCATTTTAAGATGTCAAAGAGCTTCTACTGGAACAAGCAATGGTCTGGAATGTCTACTCTTCTGTGGTGAAGGGGCTCTAGTCTTCTGACTCAGTGTGGAGCTCATGAATCATCCCGTCCAGTAGCATAGTGTTTTCATTTTCTCATATTCTCCCCCAAAGCTGCTCCACTCCTCTTCAGAAGAAAAGATAGCTTCAGATGGATTCTCTCTAGGTTGACAAATTAGCAGCAGCAACTTAGAATTCTGTTGATTCAACAGAAAAATGCTCTGAGAAAAATGCCCGAGAGAACAAGGTAACGGAGGAAAGACTGGTTTTGTTCATGCTTTTAGGAGGTTCAATCTGTGAATGAAAGTTTCTGGAAAGATACCGCTTATGCTGAGGCTTCTGTAAGGCTGACTCAGGGGAACTTCAAGATTGTGAGAAGTCTGGGATGTTCTAAGTCCAGAGCCAGATTATCTTGGGCCATCTTTATCTCTCTTAATAGACATTTATTGCCCTTCTCTGTAACTGGCTGGCCTCAGACTCACAGAGATCTGCCTGCCTCTGCCTCCATGAGTGCTGGGGATCACAGGTGTGCACCACTGTGCCTGGCCATACCAGTTTAATGGTCATTTCTTGATTTATGTAATTTGCTATTATATATGCATATAAGTGAATTCAATAATTAGCTTTTTAAAAAACTCACTGACATGCATTTTGGTTTTTCAAGACAGGATTTCTCCGTGTAGCCTCGGCTGTCCTGGACTTGCTTTGCAGACCAGGTTCACCTTGAACTCACAGAGATCTGCCTGCCTCTAGCTCCCAGAGCACCAGGATCAGTGTGCACCACTGTGTCTGGCTAGAAATGCATATTTCTTACACTTTGTTTACACACATTACTGATGGTCATTTCTTGAGTTATATAATTTGCTATTGGATATGAATATTCAATAAATATTGGATTCAATCCATATATATATATATATATATGAATTCAATAATTAGCTTTTAAAGTACCCTCCAGCATGCATATTTCTTATACTTTATTTACAGACACTCACACACATTTTTTTGGCAGTGTACAGGACGGAGCCCCAGGCTCAAGCATGCAAGGCAAGTGTTCTGCATTTCCTCTGTTTTGTTTGTTTATTTATTTAGTCAGGATCTCATTTAGCCAAGACTACTCTTAAAATCTTTAGGTAGCCCGAAGATAACCTGGAACTCCTGATCCTGATCCTATTCCCTTCGCTACCTCAGTGCTGGGATGACAGGCTTGTGTCAATATATCTGCTTTATGTAGCTCTGGGAGTAGAAACCTGGGTTTTTATGTGCTGGGAAGGCACTCGACCAACTACGTCCCCAGCCTCAATTCTCCTATTTTATTCTGAAGATGACCCTGAGATTAAGCAATTTTCATGTTTCTTTCCTGAACATTTATTTGGAATAGATGTCCAATAAATATGAATTACAGTTTACAGTAAAGACTTTAGTCTATTTAGTACAGGACGAGTCCATGGGCTTCTGCTTGATCCAATCTCAGGCTTAACACTTGTTTATAGGTCAGAGAATCAGCATAAGACACTGAAACAAAGAAGATACTAATTTGATTGCTTGATAAAATCCATCTTTGGGATTATGACATAATCCCTCCACTGAGAAAAATAGTCTTTTTTTTCAATCTGAAAGAAAATAATCAAATCAAAGCTTATTTGTTACTCTTTAAGAGCCCAGTTGAATCAGTACACCTTTAGTATCAGCACATGTGAGGCAGAGGTAGGTGGATTTCTCCATTTGAGGCCAGCCTGGTGTACAGAGCCAGTTCCAGGACAGCCAGGGCTATACAGAATAACCCTGTCACAAAAAGAAAAAAAAGGTGATCAATAATGTTTCAGTTAGTACCAACATCTGTGGAATGGATCTTTGTACTTAAAACTTGATCAACCTCTACGTCCCCACAAAACACAAATGGGTTTTAAATGAAAAGCTTTTTTCACTTGCTAATCAATTTTTCCAGGGTCAAAGTTCTGGCCACCATAAACGTTAGCCAGCAGAAGGCTTGCAGCAGGCAAGAAGCTAATCAGGACAAAAGCAAGCAAGGCCGTGGTAGAGTCGGGAGGACAGACTAGCTGATGCAAGAGGAAGAGATTCTTGCTCCAAGGAAACAGTTTTAGGCCAGGCGGTGGTGCATTCCTTTAACCCCAGCACGCCTGCAACTCCCTCTTTAGACCAGGCTGACCTTGAAGTCACAGAGATCTGTCAGCCTCTGCCTCCCCATGGCTGGGATAAAAGGCGTGCACCACCCTCGCCCAGCTCAAAGATTTCCATAATATTCTTTTCAATCATGGGGGGAGGGGGGTTTCATGTGAATTGTAAGTGTCTACAGAAGCCAGAGAGATTGGATATCCTGGAGCTGGAGTTAAATATGGTTGTGATGAAGGTGTTGGGAACAGAACCCAGGTCCCTGGAAGAGCAGCAAGTGGTCTTAACTGCTGAGTCATCAGTCTAGCCCCTGCTGTCTACTCTTGTCAGTGATGAGTTTGCCAGGTTCTTGACTTATTACACACTGTTCGGAGAGAAGATGTGGCTAGCAGCCCTAGTCTTCTTGCTGATCACCAAACTCAGGGTGTTGAAAGAAAACAAGCTTCCCTCAGTCAATGTGAAAGACAAGGTCAGGGGAGGTTAAAACGGTGGAGCAGAGATTAGCAGCTTATAAATACTAGTACCTCCCAAGGCACAGGAACTCCCCTGAGTCCCATTTATTATAACTCATGCCTTCATGGTAGCTAGAGGGTTTTCCAGAGGGGCAGATGTGTTGCTCACATTTTAAACCATTGAACAAATTTCAAGTCACAACTTCTCTAGCCTGAAAAGCTTTTAATCCCATCATTTGGAAATCTGAGGCAGTCAGACCCTAAAGGGCTTCCTGGTTGCCAGCATAGCCAGACAAAGATGTACAGTGAGACTTTGTCTCAAAAAGTAAAGCAGAAGGATGACACCAACATATATGCGAACCTAGATGGGTGATGGTGACGGTGGTGGAGGTGAATGGGACAAGTACTCATGAGGCCTGAACCCTAGACAAGGACTACAGGCGACCAAGGAATACCGAGACTCGGAAGAGAGCACGAGTGCCAAATGGGCAGCCCTGAAAACGTATGCGCGCAAGTGACCTTATACAGGCTGAGCAGCTTGTGTTTATGGATTTAGGAACACACACATAGGTAACAACTGTTAAAATAAAGAGGCTGCGAATTTGAAGGAGAACAAGGTTGGGGGAGGAATATGGGAAGGTTTGGGGGGAGGAAAGGGAAAGCAGAAATGAAGTTAGCTATAATCTCAAAACAATAAGGAAGTAACTAAAAAGATAATAATTAAAAAAAAAAAAAAGCACAAGAGCTGCTCCTCAGTTCATCTGCTCCACCCTGCCAGCACCAGCGAGGTCACCTGAGCTCACAGGGCAGCCAGACCGCAGCGTTTTTGGAGACCACGCCCCGTTTGGCCCTCGAAAGTGGGGGAGGCCGTGTGTCTAAGGTCCAGCTCCTGAATTCCTGCCCCTTTGCGCACTCAGCTCTTCCCTTCACAAGCCGAGGGTCCAACCTGGAGCTGGTCTTGGGCAACCGCGGGGTTCAGGAGCCACCCAGGAGGGCGGGGCGAAAGGCGGGGCGATCTCCGTGACGCCCGAGAATCGGGCCAATGAGGACGCCGGGCGGTGCCGGCCGGCCGGCCCCGCCATAAAAACAGCGGCGCGGCGGGGCTCCCCGGCAGCGGGAGGGTCGGAGAGTGACTCTCGGAGCTGAGCCGTGCTGGTGCGGGCCCGGCGCAGCGGGAACGCAGCGCTCGCACCCCCGGCGTCCATGGAGAAGGGCCCGCCGCCGGCGGAGAAGCCGCGGGGAGCGCGGTGCGCCAACGGGTTCCCCGGGCGGGAGCCGCCGCGGCCCCCCGACGCCAAGGGCGCACCGCCCGCCGCAGCCTGGAAGGCCGGGCGGCCCCGCAGCGAGGAGGACAACCAGCTGAACCTCCCCAGCCTGGCCGCCGCCTACTCGTCCATCCTGCGCTCGCTGGGCGAGGACCCCCAGCGGCAGGGGCTGCTCAAGACGCCCTGGAGGGCGGCCACCGCCATGCAGTTCTTCACCAAGGGGTACCAGGAGACCATCTCAGGTCGGGCGTGCGCGGGGGCGCGGGGCGCGGGGAGGCGCTTCCGGGAAGGGGGCGGCCCCGCGAACTTTCCCAAGTTGCTCATTTTTGGCACCGAGGGCCACGCTGTCCAGCCCCAGCTGCGGCCGCGGAGACGCCCCCTGGCCGAGGCGAGCTCCCCTCCTGGGTTGTGCGGCTGGCATCCGGGGGTCCGGGGTGGGTCCCGAGCCTGACAGCGCGTGCGGCACACGCCTTCCCCGGAAAGGATCCCGGACACTTGTTGAAGCGAGGCTTCTCGGTCGGTCTGAGGTTCAGCGCTCTTGGGTGAAGCCAGGTTTCCTGGACGGATCAGGGAGCCTAGGAAGTTAGCCGCTTGTAATTGGGGGAGGGGCTTCTTCAGACAGGTGTAAGTCGCGTCCCACCGCCTCAGGTTTACTCCAGGTTGGGGCTTTGCCAAAATGTGGCACTATTCTGGATTCGGACTCGAGCAGTTGGAGGTGTGGATTTTCTTCGGTGAGTGATGTTGCTGAAAGCCTTTCACACACGCCCCCGCCTGCTGCTACTCTAGAGCTGAGGCTCCCCGGACCGGGGACTCCGTGCCTGTGCCGCCGCCCTTGCTCCAAAGGCAGCTAACATCTACAGTCTGAGCTTGCAGTCAGCAAGGCTTTTCCACGCAGTGACGGGGAGGCAGTCTCTGGGTAGAGGCAGGGTAAGGAGGAGTGGACCTTGCTGCCCATTTGGTAAGCAGTTGTTGGTCTTTAAAAACGAGAAGGTTCTGGTCCTTTTGGCTGAGGTCAAAGGTCTTATTTTCAGTTTACTTCTGTGCATCTCTATGACATGTTTCTTCGCCTCCACCATTTCTCCTGGGGGGGGGGGACAACAGCAGCGCAGCTTTGAAGGGTGATCAGTCACCCTGTCTGTCCTTGGCCTTTTCCTGAAGGCAAAGCTGAGAGACTGAGAACCCATCCTAGAAAGAGCACTCACTTCTGCCAAGTCTTGCCGGACCTCAAAGGAAGGGTGGGAGATCAGAGCCTGTGCAGGGTGGGTCCCAAGGAAACAAAACTGCTTCCTGGTAACGCCAGGAAGTGGACCTCGTTTGGAGTCTGGGTTTCACTGTTTTGCAGAGTTTGAAAATGCAAAGTCTGGGGAACAATCACTGGCTTTTCTGTGAGTTCAGGATTCGGTGTTAGTGTGTTTGAGGTTCCAGGATTGTAGCAAGGAGCATCTTGACTGAGCCCTGTTCATTCTGCCACTTGCAGCCAGAAAAGGGGATCCTAGCCGCACCCACAGTCCCTCCCTTCTGTGATCTCATTACTCCAAGGGAGAGGAGTCACACAGTTCTCTAAAGAGACTTGCCTGCTTGCCTGTTACTGAGAACCAGGCTGGCTCAGAAGCGGAGATTCAGCTAAAGAGGCCTAAGGGCTCCAAAGCACCTCCATTCCAATTTGTTAATAAAGAGTTCATTGACCTAGAGACAGAAGCTTGCTGTCAGCTGAGAAGACAGAGGGCTAATGAATTACAGCTTAATGGGTATGAGGTTTCCTTTCCTTTCCTTTTTTTTTTTGGGGGGGGGGTCCTTTTCTAGTGAGAGAAATGTTCTGAAAGTAGACAGAGGTGGTAGTTATACACATCATGGATACTACTGAACTTGTTAACTTCGTGGTTAACATGAAGAATTCTTTTAAAAAATGATTTTATTTACATTTGTGTTTTTGCCTTCCTTCGTGTCTGTGCCAGGGAGGTCAGATCCCCTAGAACTGGAGTTTCAGGAAGTTGTGAACTGCCATGTGGGTGCTGGGATTTGAACCCTGCTCCTTTGGAAGAGCAGCCAGTGCTCTCAACCACTGGCTAACATGAATTTTATAGGTGTTTTATCACAATAAAATCATGGACTAATGTGGTGTGGTGGTGTCCACCTTTAATCCCCTGCACTCAAGGGTAAGGCAGATCCAGGCAGATCCCTGTGAGTTCAAGGCTAGCCTGGTCTACAAAGTGAGTTTAGGACAGCCAAGGCTATACAGAGAAACATTGTCTCATGTGAAAAAAAAAATCATAGACTATTGATTATTGGTAGCTATTAATGGAATTTTTCTTTTTTATCAAATAGACTTGGCTGTCCTGGGGCTGGATATGTAGACAGGGCTGGTTTAGAACTCAGAGTTCTGCCTGCCTCTGCCTCCAGGGATTAAAGGTGAGGGCTACCATGCTCACCTCAACTGAATGGTCTTGGCTAAACCTTAACTTTGGGACTAAGCATTATTCTTTCATCACCATAGTGGGGAAACTAAGCTGGAGTTCATACATGGCAGAAACCAGGTAGGTAGGTAGGTACTTTCTTAGGCTGTAATACAGCAAGATGAATCTGCACTTCTCTACCAGGCGTTTCAAACAGCTCATGAGCAACAGGGGCACAGGATGGACTGGCTAAGATTAGCTTGTCACATGTAATAAAAGATTGTAAAGATAAGTGTTTAATTTTAAATATAAAGTGTTCTTATTGGTTCTTTAAGAATTCCATTCCTAGCTGAGTGGCGGCCGCACACATTTAATCCCAGGAGGTAGTGGTAGGTGTGTATCTGAGTGCTGACAAACAAACAAAACAAACCCAAAACAGGAACAAACAGGCTACACACGCCTCTAATCCTAGCACTGGGGAAGCAGAGGCATTCAAATCTGAGTTCAAGGCCATCCTGTTCTTCAAAGGACAGCCAAGACTGCACAGAGAAGCCCTGCCTCAAACAAACAAACAAACAAACAAACAAACAAACAAGATTCCATTCTTGTGTATAATGTATTTTGATCAGATTATCCTCTTCCTAACTACTCCGAGGTCCACTCTATACCCTCCCAACTTCCCATTTAGTTGAAAATTTTATTTTGTGACCTATGGTGTCCAGTTTGTACTCATTAAGAGTGGGGCTTGGGAGCATCTACCACAGCCATGCTGGACCATTGAACTCACCGAGATCCATCTGCCTCTTCCTCTTGAGTGCTGGGATTAAAGGCCACCATGCCTGGCCTGATTTTATTTATTTTACATGTATGAGTGTTTTGCCTGCCTGTATTCACAAGCCTTAGAGTCCAGAAGAACTCATCAGAGTCTTTGGAGCTGGAGTTACAGACAGTTGTGAACCGACATGTAGGTGCTGGCACCCTAGCCCAGATCCTCTGCAAGAGCAGCAAGTGCTCTTGATGCCGAGCCATCCTGAGTTCCTGAAGACTTTTTAATTTAAGACTTGTGGACAAATATAGGGATTTACATATTTTGTATGTCTGATGCTCTATTTATTCCTTGTTGACTTATGTCAGAAATTATGTGGCATTTCCTGTTCTCCACGTTTTCTGTTCACTCCTTGGCTCTGGGGAGTGTGTCAGGGAGTGTGTCATTTTCCATCACCTGTCCACTCACACCTTTCCCCTCTTTCCGTGGGAGTGACTATGGTCATCCGTGACAGGGCTGTGTGTGTAGCAAGTCTCCTGCGGCTATCACAGGGCTGTGGTGAGGACATGGCAGCACCCTCCCAGGCCTGGCTGTCCTTAGACTGTAGCACCACAGGCTGACCCTTGCTCACACCCAGACCGCCCCTTCTTTGTCCACTCTTTCTCTTCAGTTTAGCCACACTCCTCTTCCTAGGCAAGAATAGTTGAAAACAGGGAAGAAAAGCCAAAAATAGGAAGGTAAAGGCACCACATGTAACTTTGGAATGACAAAAAGCATGGTACTTATCTTAATTACCTTTCTATTACTGTGAAGAGAAACCACGAGCAAGATAATTGGTAAAAGAAATAATTTAAGTGGGGGCGTCGTGACCGTCATGGTGGTGAGTGGTGGCAGGCAGGGGTGGTGAGGCAGCAGTAGCTTTCATGTTATCCTCAGGTTAAAGAGAGAGGGAGAGAGAGAGGGGGGAGGTAGAGGGACAGAGAGGGAGAGAGAGTGCCTGAGCCTGGGCCTGTGTAGGCTTTTTGAAACCTCAAAGCTCACTCTAGTGACACACTGTCCCCACAAGGCCACACCTCCTATTCCCAAACGGTTCCACCAACTGAAGACCAAGCCTGTGGGGGCCATTCTCAGTCAAGCCACCACCACAGCGCTGGCACTGATACTAGTTTCTTAGGGTTGCTGTAGAAAATACCACAGCTGGGGGTTCAAGTAGCAGAGATCAGGGGGTTTTACAGCCCTGCTGGCCAGCTGTGGAAATGAGGAGCAAGCCCCTAGCTCCCTCTGAAACTGCCTGGAGACCTTCCAGCCTCATCCCAGTTGTGGAACTCAATCCACGCCCCTGTCCTCATTTTTGCCTTCTGAGGACATTGGTTACAGAAGACTCATGTCCTAGTGTCTGAATTTACTGCAGCATTACCATATCGAATAAAGTCATATTCAGAGGCCCCCAGAGCTTCTGCATGGTTTTCTTGCTAGGGTATGATCCGATCCAAGGCAGTACTAAATATTTATAAGATTAGTGGGGATTTTACCAATGCTTTTGTCTGTCTGTCTATTTTGAGACAGGGTCTCTCTGTAATTCTGGCTCTCTTGGAACTCACCTTGTAGACCAGGCTGGCCTTGAACTCACAGAGATCCACCAGCCTCTGTTTTTTGACTTTTGAATACTGAGATTAAGGGTTTACACCACCAGGTTTGGAGATACTTAAATTTTTTTTTTTAAATTGTCCTGAATGCTGAGAACAGAATGAGTGAAGCTGAATACGGTTCTTGACCTCGTGGGAAGGCCTTTGAGAGTAAAGAGACATTAACTGGTCATGGGGAGAGAGATGGCTATGGCGACATGTCTCAGCATTTAGTAAAGGCACTTGATTAGTGCTAGGCGATGGCAGCGTGAAAGGGCCCAGCGCTGGCTCCAGCCCTCTCTGAGTCCTTGATGGCCACCTTGCTCAATCTTCATAGAGGGCATGTAATATTTCCATGTTGTGGCTTAGGAAACTGAGGCGCAGGGCAGACATGGTCCAGATGGTGGTGAAAAGTAGTACAGCTGAAAGGATAATGGATGTCATGTGACATGGATTTC